TCCAAGTGAAAGTGCGAGTAGATGGTTTGGTTAGGAAGGCTGAAACGAAGGGGGAGATACAGAGCCCGGTTGAGGTCGTGGTCGACCACATCCGAGACCAGGAACTAGGGGTCGTTGATCTTCGACCCCGGCATCACGAGGGGACCTTCAGGTGCGAGAGGGACCTCCAGATTTGCAGCGACCTCGTCACCCTTCCCTCTGTCCAGGCGTCGAGGCTACTGGGAGGATCCCTCGACCGACAAGGGGCCTTACGGCTCCTTCGTCCTTGCCCTCTTAGGGCCGGGGGTGATAACGAACGTCCCCCGAGATTGGACCTCGACGGTGCTGGGAGTTAGGTCGACTTGGGCCTTCGGTTGACTCGTCGACTTGGAGGAGGCCCCACTGCCTCTCTTCCTCGGCTTAGGGGGAATAACATACCTTATGTCAGAGGGTACTGCTGCACAATGAAGAAAAGTCAGGCCCGAAAATCCCTCGACTACTTTCCTTCCTTTTACTGGAAGTTTAGGGGAAGTAAGACTCGATTTACCGCTGAGGAGGTCTGCAGGCGGGACGACTGGCTCGTGCAGAGCCTTGAGGATAACTGACAACCCGTAGAGCAGACGGTTCTCGGGTGTGTTGAGCACAGTAAAACTTCGTCTGGAGTCATCGAGAGATAAGATACACTCGACGCGTCCAAGCGTAGTTGTGGAGAGCCTCGGTCTAGTAACAACTTCACCTGCACAAAGAGCAACACATGTGAGACTACCGCAAATAGAAGGATGTCACAAGAGTTCAATAGAAAGGAGACCTACAGTATTTTTTGAATATTGTCTGTGTCTCGAGGGGACGCTCGCCGTCGAGCGGGTGGGTGTTGAAATTGCCCCCAAGGAAAAAGAATTGGGGCTTCCACCCATGACAGCTTGAGGTCTTCTCGATCATGACAGCAGGGATGAGAGGTTTGGACTTGGAGTGAGCTCTAAAGTAGAAAAAACCCTTTTGACTGGGGGAAGCTCTAAGGGCATAACAGTACAAAAATTCCTCGACGGTTATGTCGAGGCCCAAAAATTTCCTCCACGGGATGACCATGGAGTTTATTATTACCTAACTGTTGGGTGACAACTGGGCAGGAGAAATCCTGTGAAGGCCACAAAGGGCCTTCACAAAGGGGTGAAAGGGCAAAGTCTGCCCAAAGCTAAAGGACCGCGTGTATACGATCATATGGCGGGGAGAAGGGTTGTGAGCCCTGTCGTTGGGGGTTGGGATGATCAAGTAGAAGTGGTTGGCGTCAATCCTTGCGTCATTGAACGCCTTCAGGGCGACTTGGGGTTTAATCTTTGACGGATTGACATCTGTCACCATCCCCGTAACGTCACTGGTCGACACCAGCCCATAACTGCGCCCCCAGCAGGGCCGACCCGTAAGCTTTCATCCTCGACGTCGAGGAGGATCAACTCGTCTGCATGAGAGGTCGAGATCGACCCCTCGGGGTATTCCTCCACCTGGTGAAGCAGGGAGTCCCCACTGTCATCTGAGGACGTGCTCGGTGTTGCAACTTCCTCAAGGTGTTCCCTAATCCTGGAGGTTGAGACCTCTCGACCTCTAACTTATTTGGGCGGCATGATATGAAAATAAGCACAAAATAGTTCGAGGTAAATACCTAGTGGTCGAGAGGCCAAAAACAGAATCAGGAAGGAAAAGGCTCAGGACAAAATGATCCTAGAGCCAGGAACTTCGACACTAGGCTCACACAGCCTAGAAATGGGTTTTCAACCCATGAACGAGGAAAAAGTTCACCACGGTCCCTAGGGACCCAGAAGTGAGTTTGAGAACCCTGACGTGGTCGACTGAACCCAAGTAGGTGCCACCACGACATGATTCAACCTAGATTAACACGACATTGTTCAGGTAAGTTCATTATTCGGTTATGTGAACCTTTATAGTGTTGGTTTTTGCAGAACCAGGTCCAGAATCACACCCAGAAATGAAAGGGTGCTAGAAGACTTACTAGTTCTTGAAGAAAGCCTTAGAACCAAGAAGGATAATCATAAATAGGTGGTGCACCCGGAGGTTGAAGTCGGAGACGGTGGTTCCTGGTGAGAATCCGGCAAAGTAACGGTGTTATGGAGAATGGACAACCGTAGAACTGTGTCAAGGGGCAAATATATAGGCACGGGGAGGGAAGCTCAGGAGTCTGAGAAATCCTAACGACGCCAGATCTCGACCATCAGATTTGAACCGACCTCATCCAACGGTGAACCTGAAAAGACGTGATCCAAGGGCTGGGATAAGAGTGGGAGAAATAAATATGATCGGACGGTTGCAACTTCCCCCTCGACTGCCACGTGTCGCCATGGTATGGGGACATGACCGTTGACATGATCGATGAGACTGCTCCACTGCCCGAGGAAATCGCTGTAATGATGGCGCAGTACCTACGAGCGGCTACCGTAGTCTGCAGGAGGGAATCTTCCACGTGGATCTTTCGACGCTACATAGCCTAGAATATCACAATGCGACATCCCAGGCTAGGGGTAATTGTTACACCACGGTCGAGGGATCGACCTGTTCTCTGGGTGACAAGCGCCGATGACTCCCCATTGAGGATCGGTCGCTGACGCCGAGGGAACCAGTGTGTCAGAGTGCCCTTTAGACGTCGAGAGGTCACGTGCGTTTATGAGCGTCGAAAGCCCATCCCATGTGGCGAGGACCCGACGTCGAGACATCAGCCCTGGTCAAATCTGCTATCAGTCCTGGGGAAGATACACTGTATCACCTACCGCCATTGTTGGAGTCAGGAAATCAGGAATTAGGTAAATAGTGGTTAACTTGACCGGGAAGCAATAATCAAGGAAATCCAGCTACCAAATCCCCAAATTAAGGGATAGAGGATGATCTCTTCGGGAAGTGCAGGGGGTTTCTCACATGTATAAGGCCTATAAATAGAGCCATAAAAGTTCATTAAGTTTTTTACACTTTCACTTAGAGACTTCTACAGAACTTGTAATCTACAACATATTAGTGCATGAACAAGTGGATGTAGGCAAAGAATTTTAGTCGAACCACTACAAACTCCTGTCTCATTTACTTATTCAGCACCGTTAATCCCCGACTAATATGTGAGAGATTAGTGCGAGTGTTCTCGGAGAGTTATAATTTCTTGTTGATTAAAATCCACCATCAACAATATATTTTAATTATTGAGTGGGGTTAAAATAAAATCACAGCAACATACTTTAATCATTTAGTCAGGGGCCGTAGTTTTTCTTGTAAAATGGGGCAATTGAAATTTTTAAATAGATAAAATTATTTTGGTATTCTCTATTACAAAAAAAAAAAACACCTCTGTTGGTACCATATGCTCTTAACAATATTAAACGTTTTTTGGTATCTTAAGGCTAATTTTTGAGATGTAAAATGTCATTTATACCTTTCTACTTAATTTTTGTAGAATTTATTTTTACAAACATATTGAAAATATTTAAAAACCATAAATCTCCCAATCTAATTAATTTAATGGAAGGGTAAAAATGACATTTTATTTCTTAAAAAACGACTCTAAAATACCCTTAAGTAGTTATTTTTTAAAACTCAAAAGTATTATTTTAATAATATTATTAAAAACACAAAATACCGAGAACATGTTTCAATATAATAAAGTGTATTAAAATGATTTTATCTAAAATTTTAAACTATTTCTATAAACTATATAAGAAGAGTGAATGTCTTTACTGTTCACACACTCACAAAACAACGTTCAAACTTTAATTTATCTATTTTGTCTTCTTGTGGGTTTTTTTTTTTAACTTTCTTTCCTAACTTTTCATTTCAATATATATAGATTTAATAAATAATACCTTTTAAAATATTTTTTAACCCACTTAAATAATTATTTCAAATCACCCTTATTTGAAGGTTTTTTTTTTCTCATATAATCCTTAAAAATGTTATTTTGTAAAGTATGACATCCGTATATATTTTATTCTAAAATTTATTTTATTTCTTCAATTAAAATTTTTTTTTTACTTCTTGCCCTAATATTTTATATATTTTAATAATAATACGGTAATTAAAATTTAATACAGAAATTACACTTTGGACGTGGAGTCCATTTAATAACGGATAAAAATCAGAATCCGACGATGTGGCTCCGTCATGTGGTATGGTGAGAGCTGAAAAGATAACAAACAAATAGAAGAAGAAGAAAAACGTAGGAAAAATTGAAAAAAAGTGAAAAGTGACTAAGTGAGGGTGAGAGTGGGGTCATGTCAAACATTGTCAATCAATATCATCCGCGTCTGCACCGTTATTTATCTGGTCTACTCCGAACTCGAACATTTTCATGTGGCTGACTAATACATAAATTATTATTAGAAAATATAAATTAGAAGTTAGAAGCAGCTGCCCACCAAAGCTCGGCTTCTAGAATTTTAAGAATTTTTTTTTCTTAGTTGCTCTCAGTTTGCCCCTCCATTTCAACTTTTTCTTTTCTTCTTCTTCGTTTTCTCTCTGATCTCTGGTTTCATTTGTTCTTCAAGCATCCCTGTTTGGAGCTAAGTTCAGGTAAATCCAAACTCATTTCCGTCTCTTTCTCTCTCGCTTTTTCCTTTTTGGTTTGGTTTTTAAATCTGTTTTTCGAACTTTATTCGGGACCTTTTTGGATTTTTTGTTTTTTTTTCAAAATTTTGTATCTTTTTTGGTGAAGTAGTGGTATTTTTTATTCGGACGATTTTTCAGGTTCTTTCGCTGAGAAATTTGGAAATCTTCTTTTTTCTATGTCGGAAGCATGTTGATTTGCCATTGATTATAATTGCTAATTCAGATCTTTAACTTGTTGTCGTTCGAGGATTTGAATAAAAATACAGTTTGTTTAATCGGCTATTTAACAATTGTAAAGATTATGTAATTTCATATGTAAAAATTTGTTCTTTGGATGCTAAACCCTACTTTCTGCGACTGCAATTTTCAGGTGGTGTTTGAGGAGAGAGAAAGAGATAAATAGCGGGGATATATATATATATATATTAGGTTTGGAAATATACCATGTCTGAGAATGTTGGAGAGTCATATAATGATAGTGATGGAGGGGCCAAACAAGCTGTGCATTCTCACCGCTCTGTTTGGATGTCTCACTGGATGAGCAGCACAGGCTGCAAGTCAGCAACTAAGCGGGCTTGTAGTCGTTTATCGATTTCCTTAGATTCCGAAGAAGACGCTCATGATTCGAAGCGGCAACGCTTGCTCGGTGTGTTGGAGAGAGCGGAGAAGAATGAGTCTGAATGTGATAAAGGGTTCAGTGAAATGCCTGAAACTAAGAGGGTGAAAATCATTGATGATAGTGTGATTTCCGGGTCTGAGAAATTAAGGAGTCCTTTTCCTATGTTCAATCTCCTCCAAAGAAAGGGAGATAATGTTTTGGCTCGGAAGGATGAACAAGGGTCTAGTTCTCATTGGGGAAAGCTAAAGTCTCGAACTGAGTGGGATTCGGGAAGTGAGAGACATTCGTCCCCTATGCTTCAGCGGGCTCCTGTGGCAGAAACTGTATCAAGAGAAAAACCTTTAAGGCCTGAAGGTCGTTTGGAGTATCCGGAGGAGGAGGGGATCATTGAAAATAACAGCTTAGACCTGACAAAGCCTATTAAGGGTGATTTTACGGTATCAACTTCTAAAATCGAGCCGTATGGATTTAACCTCAGAAAGACTCCAATTCAATCCGTGTCTAAACAGGAAGAAACTAATCTATCAAACTCGATTCAAGAATCTGGAGAACGAATGACAAATAGTAATTCTATGGTTTTGGTCAATGAGGAAGCTATCAATGGCCTCTTTGGAAGATCTAGAAACCCATTTGTCAGGCCCAATGACTTGGCTTTATTTCCACATGATCCGTCAACAAGCAGAAGTCAGCAACCTGAATCTGTTTCCCACAAGTTACAAGATCACACTGGTGTTGGATTGTTCCCGAGAAAGAACACCCCCATAGAGCTGACAAAATCAGAAAAATTATATCCTGAATGTTTTTCGGTACCAAGTCCGCCGTTTTCCGAGCATGGCGTGGAGGCTATGAGAACATGCACCACTCTGGACTCCATGGAAGAGTCGTCGAGAGGTTCTAAAAAGTTCTCTTCAATTCATCGTTTTCTGGCTTCGAAAACGTCTGCTTTTAATTTGACTGAAGGAGGCCACATGTTCAAAGAGTCAACGGTATCAACCAAAATGAAAGAAAAAGCTTCTTCTGAGCTCTTTCGTTATGATCAGCAAAATTGTTTCCCAATTAGGACCGGAGTGAAGCTGCAACTTCTAGGAAGCTCCACAGCTAGTGAAGAAGAGAAAGATGCTGGAGAATTGAAGACTTCGTCGGTTAATTTAAATAATGAATCGTCAGCTGAAACTAATACCATGGACTTAGACACATTCCGGAGGAAATTTATTTCTGGTATACGCACTTTATTTTATTTTATATTTTTTGGTATGAGTCACATCTTGGTTGCAATCTATGCTGTGTTATATGATTTTTTTCCCTTTTCTTTGTTAGTTTTTTGTTACCATCTTGTTGGTAGTTCTATAAGAAATGATGCGCATGGAAGTTCTTTTGGCAGCTATGGCTGCGCATGTACAATTTGCAGTCCCTTATGTGTGTGTGTGTGTGTGTCTATATATATATATATATATTGTCCTTTTGGGTTTATTTTACTTCTTTTGTGCCAATTTTTCTACCTATTTGTTGCAGGTGTGGTTTCTTCTTCATCAAATAAGGTAAATCTTTTTATTCTTATGATCCTCTCTAATGACATTTTTCAGTAGGATCTAGTCAATGAACATATTAAGGTGCCCTATGCGACGTTCAACTAATTGGGAAACCATTACAAATTATGAGTTTTTGCAGCATGCTGAGTTGGAGCAACGGTCCCCTACATCTCAAACCGCATTGGTTGCAGCTAGAGAAATTGGAGGAAGACTGCCGAAAACGAAGTTACCCGATATAAACCAAGAGCCTAATAGTCTTGCAGCTTATGCAAGTTCTGCAGACACAAGCTCGTCAAAAACCCAGAGTTTGGATGCAGAGCTCCTTCTTTCCAATGCTGAGCAGCCCACAAATTTTAAGTCTAATACATGCCTTGTCAGTAGTCTAGAATCAGAGTTAAGCAGCAGATGGGTCAAGCGTCTCAAGTTGACTCCAACATCTGCTCGTGGTACTCAGAGCTCAAAAATGATAGAGGACCATTCTCATGGAAAAGTCAACAATTTCTTCAGTAAAATTATGAAATGTGGCATAACCAGTTCAGAGCCTATTACAGGTCGATCACATGATAAAGAACAGATGACATTTAGTCAGAGAACAACATTATGGAATGACAAGTTCTCATCTATCAAGTCTGTGAGGCAAAACCGAGATGTAACACTATCACATCCTTGGGTTCAGAGGTTGCGCCATAATGCAGTTTCATCCCCCATTGAGAGGTCTAAACCAGTAGAAATTTCGAAGCCTCAATGCTCAAAAGCAATGGTGGACAAGTGCCTAAAGAAACAGTTTCCGAGCCTTGCCGCCATGGCACTGATGGGGAAGGCTATGGGGGAATTCCGTTCTTGCCAGTTCAGGAAAAAGGGGTCTTCTATAGTTTGGAGTTCCTAAAGAGTTTGAGAGAAGCTCTGCAATCAATGGGATGATGACAGTTCTTACTGTTTGAGGTTTTCACGATGATAAAGAATGCTTCGATCATCCATTAGAGATCATTCTGCAGAAGTTAGAAGTTAATAAATCCCGAGTGTTGCATAGGTATGTATCTTGCCTGTACTTATTTTGTTGTTCTGCAGAGGGTTCTTTTTTTTTTTTTTGGGAGTTAATAAATCTGGAAGCTCTGTCATGCTGCAGATGTGCTGTGCTTGAATCTGAATATAGATATATACATATGTATGCATGTATGTATGTGCTGTACCTCTCTGTTTTCCCTGCAAAGAGACTTGTCTCTTTGAGACTGCTAGGCAAAATGAAAAATAGCGAATTATACTTTGCGTGATCGGTGTGCGTAAGCATATATTGGTTCTAAGGCTTGGTGCTGCTCAAACAATTTTCTGCACCTCTTTTCCCCTTTTGGAAATTCACAGTTGCATGCATTTACAACTACCACATGTTGGACAATATAATTATCATGTATGGTTGGAGTTGACAGAAGAACTGATCATATGAATGAAGACCCGGGATGGCCTCGAGGGAAATGGTGTGGAGCTGTCAATTTACCATTGGCTGAAATTTTAAAGGAAGTTCTAGAGAGAATGGAGGAGAATCTTTGAAAGAGAGACCATTCTTCTTCCCGCAACAGTAATGCATTTGTCTTCACCATATATGCTTTATGCATTGCTTCCTCGTGTTTTTAACAAGTATGGCCGTATCACTTTTTCAGCTGTTCAGTTCCAAAATTTTGCAAACACTCCCTCTTCCGTTTGTTTATATATCAAATTCTAATTTCAGGTTATTAGTATACTTTTTAAGGTTTCTGGTCTGTGAAATTAATTTATATTATTAGACGTCGGGTTCACAAAGATAAGGATGAAATTCTTACTTTTTCGGATAGCTCTATGGGTTCACGAAGATGAGGGTTTTTCTAGTTTTTTACTTTTTGATATTGTTAGAAGTTGGGTTCCTTTTTTTGTAATTCCCTTTGATTTCTGTCTTCAGAGGAAATCTCTTCCTCTTCAGCTTGTACATTATTCCTATTTTCAGTAATAGTTCATTGTTTCAACAAAAAAAAAAAACAAAAAAAAGCAGATTGTATTTCTCAATGCGGCAACTCCACAGATTGCATATGTTATGTATGAAAATATCTATATGTATACAAATGCAATTTTTTCACCTAGTTAGCCATGTCTTTTCTCCACCGAGTTCATGACATTTCTACCCTGCCAATAACTAATGCCATTCCTACGCTTTCCCATTCTTTTTATACGTTTCTTCTATTTATTTATTGTCATTTTAATGGTTATAATTGAATAAAGAGGGCAATTGGGCATATTATCTAGGTTTTTTTTTTTTTTTTTTGATCGAGTTATTATAGGTATATTGCACACTATCAGCACCCTACTTGATATGACATTTTCATAAAGAAGTCAACCTACCAGTCACTACATTAGCAGACTTGTCTTTGCAAACTGCTATGACTAGAGAACCCATAAATAAGTTTAGCCACAAGTTTGTATGGTGCAAACTTGAGCATATAATTATAACCTCAACTAAAGTACTTGAGAAGTCTTTGAACCATTCCTTTAACCGAACATGGACCAAATTTATTAGTGAGAAAGTATGGCAGGAAACTTGTAGTGTTAAAAAAAGACTAGTAAGGGGGGCATACGTCTAGATTTCCAATGTCAGTTATACCTCTTTTCTTTTGCACTATCGAAGCTTCGACCAGAGCAGGACCAAGTCTACTTCACTTGGCATCTTACTCGTTTGTTTCACGGGTTTGAACCACAATTCAAACCCTTTTGTTAGTGTTTTAAAAATTTGAATTTGTATTCGAACTTTCTATCCAAATGTATGAACCAAACAGGCAAAAGTGATTTGACATTATGCCTTTCCTATTACATAGTTAAAGAGACGTCAATGCGTTGGTTCTAAGAATTCAGAAGTAATGAACTCAGTGATCGCATACAGTAGTCCCATTCTTTACATGACACCTGGTCTGTTGCGAAGAAGACTCAAAAAACCCACCTCCATGGATGTTTGAATCTATGGAGGAGCAAACTGAACCATTATATCTCTCTATGTGACCACTCCCATGGTTTGCTGCAACTCAACTAAGAAGCTGACATTGCTTCTTGTTTGCGCCATATTTTCAATTACTCGCATTAGCGTATCGGATTTCTTGTTGGTCGCAGATGAGTTCATACCCCGGAGTAAGTTGTCCCGTAAACGAAGATGTCCAATGGTCAGGTCAGTGCCTCTTTTATCACTTTCCATTTGGATGAATTCCTCCACAGTTGCCGTGCAGTCGCGCGAAACATTCATCATTCTCTACTATTTCCTTGTACTGATGCTCCCAAGACTCCTACCAAGTTACTTATTGGTAGAGTTCTGGTAAGATGAATTTATTGGCTGCTAAATCTGAAATGGATTTCGCTTACTTTCTGTCGTGGAGAAGAGTTTCACTTTCTAAAATAAGGTAAACATCGCTATTGCTCACGCTGCCGATGAGCTTCTTGTTTTCTCTATTTGTGACCGCAACTACACCAAACATGAAGGGCTTCTGCTATGATTTGGTCTTCATAAACATGTGCAACACATTCTTAATTCTCGAACCTGTCCAAGGAATGGGGATGACGAATACGATTATGAATCTGCCAGAGAGAGAAAAACCATTCCTATCAGAAAATGTTCCGTTTTGATGTACCGGAACTCCGATATAACTTTATTAGCAATCCCATCGAACCACTCTAAGCCACTCGATTGAAGAAGCGTTTGCATGACCGCGTCCTACCACACAGACCAACAAGTATCCAGGGTAAATTTGCTTCAATCCAAAAGCACCAAAGATCATCTACTACTTTATTTGCTTCTAACAACTACTTTGCCATCTGCAATTATAATTTCAAATTTTTGAGGTAAAGTTTTGAACGGCTAAAGTACCTGTGTTATAAGACTGATGGCTTGAGAAGTGAATCGCTCTATAACAGGTACAACTTTCAGCCGCTGCTTCGAAAGAAGCAGCACAACATTGAAGAATGTGTCATCCAAGCGTACTGGGAAAAATGGTCGCTACAAGAATGACTTGGCTAGCTCCGCAATCTGTTATATTTCTAATAGGAATTAAAACTCGAAAACAGACTGTTGAGTTAAAACAAAGTGTTGAATCGAGAAGGCAAGTTGTTGTGGCCAGTTGATATTTGCATGACATTAAGTTTTCAGTGTTTGATTCTCATAATCAACAAGTTCTATGTATCTTTTCTCCTTCAAATAACGGGCTCCAAACTCTCGATTTGTAAGATATTTACCATATGACAACATATGTATATATATATATATATATTAGTTTTTTCTTTTTCTCGTCTAAGAGCGAGGGATTCGAACTCTCGATCTTAATATTGGAGGCAGGGGTAGGGGTTGGGGTGTGGATTCCTATAACCACTATGACAACATGTTTTACATGAGTTCGGTGCAAAAAAATAAAAATAAAAATAAATAATATAAAATAAAATAAAATAATACATACCTTGGTTCGGCCAATATTAGGATACTGTTCAAACATAGCAAAAACACCAGTCACCAACATAATTAGGGTTGACAATTTGGGTAGCGACACAACGACACGACTCAAAACTTATACGAAGTTAGCGGGTTTGAGTTTACTATAAATGAGTTTAGATCACAATCGGATTGACACGATTAACACGATTCATAAATGAGTTGGGTTAGAGTTGACTTCCTAACACAAAGTGACACGAATTAACACGATTAATTATATGTGTCGTCTGCAATTTAATGATATGTGATATAATATGAAAGTTTATATGACATATTAAATACAAATAATATGAATTTTAATATTTGTAGGTAAAATTCATTTTTTTAAAAGAAAAAGATAAATTGACCAATAAACATGTTAAACCTGTGTTAACCGTATTAAATAAGTCATTATTATATTAGTTATTTATTCAATATATTAATTTAAACGGGTTATATGGGTTGACACGATTAATAAATGAATCGTGTTTGGATTGATATTTTTGACACGTTTAATAAACATGTCGTGTTTGGGTTGATGTTTTTTGACACGATTAATAAACGGATTGACATGAATACGACCCACTAACACGAATTACCACTCTTAAACATAGTACTCAGCATTCCATTGTGTTTGTCATGGTTTTTCTCTTTTTCATACTTTGAACGTGACATAGTAAAAGGAAGCATTTAGCATCAGTTTGACTTAAAAATTCACACACACACAAAAAAAGAAAAAGAGAAAATGCAAGTTGGGAATTTGGATTTGAAGAATAAAAAAGGAATACCTCTAAACACCAAGGTCTCGTTCAGTTTGCGGATTCGAGTTTTCAATACGAGTTGAGATGTCATTTTATATGAAAGTTTTTTACTGTAGTAAAAATTAAATATAATTTTTTATGAGAACTTTTAATTGTAACAAAACTAAAATTGAAATTTTAAATTAGTGAAATGAACAAGGCTAAAAAACTATGTGAAAAATCAATGAAACCAGTCTAGTGAGCTAAGAATCCACCAGTGGCAGAATCTGCAATGAGTGCACCAGACACATTCTTCTCGTACAGAAAAGACTAGTGGATTATCCGTGCATTTACACGGATATGTAATAGTTTAATTAACAATAATTTAAATAAAAAAATGTATAAAAAAAAACACACACACACACACACATATATATATGTTTATAAGTTGTTGTAAATTTGTAACACATATATACATATTTATTTGTATGTCTATCTTTGTAAATAAAAATATACATACTTATTTATAGATATACAGAGATTTATTCATATTTATTTATTTTTGTTTTTGCTTGTTGTTTCTTCTGAGCTGCAGTTAAGAAAAAAGGAAATAACAAAATAGTTATTATTAAATTGTAACATATGTTAATAATTGTGTTCATATTTACTAAAATATTTAATATAATATATAACACATGATTTTACCTGATTTGTTTTCTTTTTTTTGACGAACTTGCGAAGGAGGTAGATTTGCGAGGGACTGAAACAGGTTGAATTGGCTTTGAAACTGATGTTGTTTCTTTTGAAGACTCAGTTGTTGTAGGTGGTAAGTACAACTGAGGTTGATCGTCATTGAAAGTCTTCGAAAAAACTTTATCGATAAAAGCTCCTCGACTACGAAACTGTATGACAAATATTTTTTATATTCCTCTTATTTCCTCTAAAATAGGAGGAATCATGTAGCGATCAGTGTATCCCTCATCGTAAGTAAGCGTAGAGAAAGCTTTGTTAATAAGTGACTACACTGTTTTACCGAACATTACAGCGTCTGTTCTTCCAGTGTTATCTTCAATCTGTATATTTATTTTATACCTGTGTAAAAAAATTAAATTATATTTATTGTATTTGTTAATAGAAAATTAAGTCGCTTGTTTTTTGTTATAGAATTTATTACCAAGTTAGTGGCATTGTAGATAGATATCCGTCAGTGTCGCACCACCATGATGTTCCAGATTCTTGCACTTGTCAGTAACACTTTGTGCATGCATAATAAAGCCATCCTTGATACGTATTCAAGTCAGTTATAGTTGCTTTAACTGTATACTTTGTTTCCTGTTAAGTAGAAGAAGAAACAATTTAATTCAATATATATATATATATATATATTATTTAATGCATTATATTTATAAAGTTTATACCTAATTTTGGAATGGATCCAATGCTCATAATTCTACGATGGTAATGCGATTTGCAATCTTCTGGACTTCTAGTTACATTGCTGGCCTTGCTGATGCAGCAATGTAATCTAAACTCTGAATGGAATGACGAAATCTATATGGAAATAATTTTTTTATATGAATAAATGAAAATGAAAATACATATATGTCAACAATGAGAAAATGAGTATTTTTTGTTATACCTCTGTTTAATTGTCCGTGTTTCTGAGATTTCTAGATCTAAAAAGTAAAAATTACCGGATGTGTTTGATAAATAAAGACCTCCTGTAATAAATAGATATTTATAGTTAGTTTTATAAGGAATTGGAATAATATATTATAATATTAATAATAACCTTGGTACTATTTGGCCGCCATTGCTGTAAAAG